TCCTTGGACCCCTCCCTTGCCAAGCAGGGCTCGGGGGGCAGTGGGGAGCTCCCCTCTCCAGAGGAGTGCCAAGGGGGGGGGGTGGGGAGGCATGGGGGGGGTTCTGCTTGGTCCGAAAGAAGGCCAAAGAGAAGCCAGCCAGGCGGCATCTGCTAACGGGGATCCCCGCACTCGGCTCTCTAATCCAGATGTTAAAAGCTCGCCGGCAAACAGGCGGCACCACACCTTGTGGCAGGGAGTTCCGCAGGCAGGTTTGTGCTCTGGTGGGGAAAGGGGGCCGTCTCGGATGGGATGGGTAGCTTTGGGCCCAGAACAATCCTGGAGGGGGGGGTAGGCAGGTGAGGCTACAAAAGGCAGGCAAGGCTTCAGCCCGCAAGCTTTGTGGCTAAACAAAGAGGTCAACCGGCCTCTCCCCTTCGGCCCCTTTAGAGCGCCTGGAGGAAAATGGAGTCTCTGAACCACAACTCCCAGAATCCCCCGGCCATATAACAACTCTTTCCTGTTCGGTCGCCTTCCTCTTCCTGCTGGTCTCAAGCCATGTGCCCTGATAAATAAGGATGCCCACGGGCAGAGGTGGGGACCCCACCTGAAACCCTCATCTAAACCCACCTGAGTATGTTTGCGGCTCTGCCAGGTCTTGTCTGTCCCTCGCGCCTTTTACCAGGACATGTCAGAGAGAAGAGTCTAGTGACACCCTGAGGCTGACACACCAGCCCTGAAGGCAGAGCCAGTGCCAGATCCCTGGAGCTTCTCAGCCTCTCTGGGCTGAGAAATGGGATGTTCCCAGCTTTCGAGGAAACCCGGGATGTTTGAAGGCGCGAGCAGGGGGTCCCCGAAGAAGCTCCTGCTCTCGTCCAACCCCATCAGCCTTCGGAGTGTCACAGGATGCTTTGGCTCTCTCTCTCTATATATGTGTGTGTGTTCTTTTGTAGCACTTCCCCAGGCCTTCCGGGGAGAGGAAATGGCTGCTGTAGCAATTCGGGGCTGTGGGGAGGCAGAGGCAAAAAAAAAGGAGAAAGAGCAGGGAGCGCAGAAACGGAAACAACAACGCGGGTGTCGGTGGGGGCGGTGTGTGTATGTTTGCACTGCACCATCCTCGGGCTGCAGAAGAAACTCTGTCTCCCACATTTGCTCCTCCATGCAAGAGGAAGGAGGCCTGTCCCAGGAAGTGAGGGCCCCCCAACCACCCCCAACTCCCTGGCCAAATTTGCACCCCAGGTCTGACGGCCGGCTTGCTTTGTCTTCCAGGTGGAACGGAGACCCTTGGGTGGCCACTGCCCCCCCCCGAAGAGGACAGCGATCATCTTGAGGGAGGCTAGCCAGCCGGCCGGCCCTTGAGCACCTGAGCAGGATGCGCTCCCCCTGCGGATTCTTTTCCTGGCGCCTGCCTTGAGAGACGGAGAGCAGTCACAGCTCAGGAATCTGCCCAACGCATTCTTGAGCGGCACCGGGCTCTCTCTCTCCCTCCTCACACGTAAACAGGAATCCAGGCCCGGTGGGGGAGGAGAGCAAGGCGCCACAGCAGAAGCTCGGATCACGGCCCGTTTTAGCCCGAGGAGGCAGCGTCGGCTCGTCTTACCTGCAAGTCAAGGTGCTTGCGGCGCGCGGAGAGGCCACCCCGGAGGGCGAATCCGGGCCTCTGCTTCCCCAAACTTTGCCCCCCCCCGTGCTGCTCACCCCGGAGATAAAGCTGCAGAAGAAATTGCGCT